TCCTTTATAGCAGCTATACCGTATATTATATAAAATATATTTAGTTTCTGCCTCAGTTATAGGTTTGTATATTTAGAAAAAATGAGTAAAGTAGTTTGAGTCCTCTAGTGAGAATCTTCCGTTTCATTTTTACATGTGGGTCCCATGTCATTCTCCTGTAAAAGGCAACACCAAGGTAGTGTAAGGTGTCCCGTCTAAGGATTTGGTTGTTTTCTATAAAAATCGGAGGGCAGATATTTCTTTGAAGTGTAAATGTAATGTTTTTCGATTTATCGTGGTTTATTCGAATTTTCCTGTCTTCCAGTCTTGTAATTTATCTAAATGATTTTGTAACGTCAGTGAGGCTTGTGCTCATGATGTTTTGTGAGAATCGCTGTTTGATCAGTATAAGTAGCCGTTTATGTCGCATTGTTCATAGGATTATCGTAAATATATACAATATATAGTAGTGGAGCCAGTTCTTAACCTTGGGGCACTCCCGCCAAAACTAAACGAATAGAAGAAAGTTCTGAGCCCTGCCGAACTGAGAAAAATCTATCGAAATGGAAAGATTGGAGAATCAGGAAATATGTGTGAGTTAGAATAGACTTGAGTTTAAAGAGAAGACCCTGGTGCCAGACTTTGACGAACGCCAACCAAAAATACATCAGTTGAATACAGATTTTGTTCTAAAGCTCCAGGAATGTAGTCTGTAACTCTGTGTAATTGATGTATTGTCGAATGGAATGTGCGAAAATCAAACTGATGGTCAGGAATTATTCGTTGGTCAGTCAGTATGTCATCAAGTCTTTTGAATATTAATTTTTGAAATATTTTGGAACGAATTGGAGGAAGGCTAATTGGTCTGTTGGAGGTAGGGATTTGTTTATTTGACTGTTTTGTGAATCATTTAAATGAGGGGGTATTTCCATTGTAATGAAAATTTCGATGTCCTCATTACGCAGTTGTAAATCGTTGTCAGAAATACTGGAGCTTTCCTGGACATCTGTTGGAGCTCTTCGGCTGTAATTAAGTCATAACAAGGAGCTTTTCTTTTAGGTAATGCTTAATCTGAAGTAGGAATTGAGATGGAGTGAACGAAGGAGGTGGTAGCGTAAGTTGCAGAGGAATGTCTGAAGTGTTAATTAGAGGATCTCATGTTTAATGTTTGTGAAATCAGTAAATGTTTTTTGTTTTAATTTTATTTATGATGTTTACAACAGTATTAATATAAATACATCAAGCAAATGTGCACATAGAAATATAATCACATGAAAACGCTTTTTGAGAAACTACCCATTGGTAGCACTCTAATAATATGTCTACAAAAGGAGGTCACGCGGCCATCTTCTTTTCAGACGTCTCGGAGGATTATCACGAATCGAATAGGAAGCAACGTTAGAAACAAGAGGATTTGGATGGTTATGAAATTATTATGGAAGGATAGGTATTTGGATTGGGCTAAATCGGAAACATATGGAACATTAAGGTCTTTATGGATTATTTTATTTGTGACGAAATAAGGAGCATTGAGGATTTTGGATTGCAGGGATTGGATACGAGAAGAATTCGATGGTTTAGTGGAGCCTCATAGCTCAACTCCATAAGTCCAAATAGTTCTTATTATAGTCATGTATATGAGTCTTTTGTAATTAATTGGAAGCTTAGATCCTTTGTCAAGTAATTGTTGGAGTAAGCGAAAACGGCGAGCTGTTTCTTGTCGTTTCAGTCTTGTATGAAGATGCCAAGTGTGACGTTTGTCCAGGTGGAGTCCTAGGTAACGGATTCGTTCACAGAGACAAGTGGAGTGTTATTAAAGGATACTGTAGGACGGGAAGTCATAGGTTTACGAAGAAGGGTAAAGGTGATTTTATGAGATTTATTGGAATTGATAAAAAAAAATGAAATGGCTTAAACAAAGAAGAAATATGATTAACGAAGAGTTCACATTTTTCTCATCCGACACAGCCCAAGAACCATCTTCTCTTCTAAGGGGTGCTGACGCCTCTCGATGTTTTACTAAACTTATAATAAAATTAATTTACTCGTATTGTTGGACAAAAGCATCAGGAAAGAATTTGTTAAAAAACCAACTGGCTTAGGCTTAAAACGGCGTATTATTTAGTTAATAAAAAAACAAAATAAAAACGTTAATGTTTTTTCAAATAACCTTTGAAAATTAAAAAAAGTGATCCAATAAAGCGTTTACAAATATTCGTATAATTTTATTTATTTGTTCTGTTCTTTTATTAAACCTGTAATTATTCTGAGAACCTGGAATAATTAAAATTGAAATCGTACAAAAAAAAATTGTAATCAAAACAACAATTGAGTTAATTACCAGAATTAATTCCTGTTTATTGGAATACCGTGTTAATTTTTTATGCGGCATTTGATTAAATCTCATTTAATATCTAGGGCATTTCATTTCGGATAACTGAATGAAATATTAGAAACCATAATAATATCAAATATCTGCTGATATTAGGAGTAAACTCTTCAAATTGACCATAAATTATTCTATTTTATAATATTCAAATCAAAAGGAAATTAATGCAATAAAGCAATATATTATAAACCACGAAGTTGAAGGTAATCAATATCCCGAGGACGACCAACAGGATTAAGGACAATAACTTTTAGGATTATTCCTCAAGATTAATTATCCAAGAACAATATTTTTTTTTATTGAAAATTCTCGATAAAAATTATCTTCATTCCTTCGAAAGATAGATGCGTTAAATACAAGACAAAACAATGATATTCAGGTTTTGAAATTGCGAAAATAAAATTATAATTTTTTATAATTGGTAAATGGTTGACTGTCGTGGATAATGAAGAGAAGAATAGTTGGGGTGGTCAGTCAAAAAAGAAGGCAAAAATAAATGATAATATTTATTTTTACGTATGCCGACGTTTCGACCTGAAGTTCAGGCCTTCATCAGGGCTAAGAAAATGCACATCTCTTCTCTCCCCCCCCCTTTGTAACGACTTTTATTTTCCCTGCAACACTTAAGGAGACAGGTAGTACTTCTTTTATTCATTTCTTATTTCAGCTTTCTCAATTTCTTCCCTCCTTCCTTTCATTCCTTCCTCTGTTTTTAACTCTTTTTATGTTATACATTGTCTGTACATCTTGATAGACTTTACAATATCTCAATTTTCTATCTAACTACTCCATTCTCAATGTCTTAATTTTACTATTTATTTTCATTTCTTATATAACTTCATATTTCTTTTTTTATGTTTTACATTTTATTCTAAGATTCCTATTGTAACACTTATGTCATCCTTTTTGATTATGCCTACTTCATCATTATGCCTACTTTATCTCTTAGCTCTTAGTCATTATTCTAACAATTTCATTTTACTTTATATTTATTTATTTTATATTTTTTTTTATTTTATTTTACCATCACTACTTATGTTTCTCATACCTTGTTATCTGGTTATTTTCTTAGCCCTGATGAGGGCCTGAACTTCAGGTCGAAACGTCGGCATATGTAAAAATAAATATTATCATTTATTTTTGCCTTCTTTTTTGACTGACCACCCCAACTATTCTTCTCTTCATAGCTTTTTATAGTATCATAAGTAATAATTTTTTTATCGGTTATTTTCCACTCACCCTTGTTACAAATATTAACGACCATTGATTATGCTGGCGGGAAGTTGTGGGGATAGGTGTCAGGGACAGGAATGCCTAGCGGAATCTCTTCCTATTTTGATTTTCCTGTCTATATTTCAGGGAGGAGATCCCTCGTAGTTTCTTTTGAGCCTTCCTGGAGTGCTAATTATGACCATACTTTAAATTAGAGTGTTAGAATATAAGTTATCGTGAAATAGTTTGCAGAGTGTCTGTATGTGATTGTTAACTGTTGGCCTTATGTAAAGTAATATTGGTAATGTACAGTGGAGCATACAGGGCCATTTTTGGCTGTCCTACGTTCAAATAGGCTTAACTAGTTAGTGTTCAATTTTGGTTTTAATTTCAATTTCGAACGTATTTAAAGATGTGGTTATAATAGTAGTCGTCATAGGTTTAATATTTTTCTTTTGTTGTTGAGTTGTGTTATTATTATGCCAAATTTCCGTCCAAGATATTGTACTTTATCTGTCGCAGGAATTGGGGAATCGTATAGGTGTTATAAATGATTTTTCTTGGTTGATTAGAATTTTTCTAAGTTTGCTCCATTATTTGGTTTTGTTGGATGTAGTAAAATCTGGGAGGCGTGTGTAGAATTTTGAGTTCTTGTTAAGATTCTTGTATCGTCGGGATGTGTTTATAAATTTTTATAATTTCGTATGTGTATATGATGAATACCAGTGAAGCGAGTACTGACCCCTGTAGAACGCCTGATAAAGCTGGTCTGATGAAAAAAAGTTATGAACCCTGGCTGAATTTTTATATTTACATTTTACAATACAAGTTTACTTTGATAATGATAAGCTGATATCAGGCTCCCAGACCTTCTATGCATCTTAAATATATTTTTATTTTAACTAAAAACAATATTCCTTACACAATAATTATGAATTTATTTAAAGAAGTGAAATTATTTTAAAGAATTTTCGAAGAACTTTTAACGAAATTTTTTAAAATCAGATTTCGTTTTTCGGTTGTATCAGAAGTATCCAAACTTTGGCCCGCAACCACCTCCTATTTTGTCTACGAAAGTTTTTTTGATTACACGATAAAATTGTTTTTAAAAAAAATATTAAATTTAGTAAATTATTCAAACACGAGGTTAATTAAACATTTATTAAATGAGTTGTTCCTCTTTTAAATCTCATTTCGTAACTAATGTGCCATTTATAGAACAAGATTTTTTTTCATCACAAGGCAAGCGGGACTTAGTGGAGGAATAACTGCGGCCCGCAGGGGACTTGGTGGAAGTCTCGATTTGGCCGACGAGACTTCCTGGACTACATCAATCATTTTATATTTTATTATATTTAAAATATATCGCTACAGTATTTAATGTATTTATCACTTAACGTAAGTATTGTTGGTGTTACAGAACGAGATGGCCTCCGAAGAACTCTATCCAGGCTTCCCTCATGAATCAGCTTACGAAGAGGCGAAACAGATGAGAAACCTTGACTCCATCGGTAAGTACCCTACTTGCAATACCAATATATAAGTAGGGTTCCGCAACTACTTTTGAAATAATACATATTTTATTATTCACATTAGTGCATGGTAGTCTGCATGTGAGGATCACAAAGAATAATTATTAGGAAATATAAATAAATAAAATAACATAAAATAGAAGAAAACTAAAACATGGTATGTTTTGATTTAGGTATAAAAATGAATGATGTGATATATATATATAAGTATTTATAATTGTATTCTGATCTCCCAGTGGGTCAAATTACATTTATATTAACGAAAACTGTATTATATGTTATTGAAAGCGTCTTAGTGAATTTTCTGTCATATCTTCATGTGTTGTCATTGTTCAATGTTGAATGTATAAGTAAAAATATTTTTCTATGCAGAGGAATTCTACCTCAAATTAATTCAGATTATTTATTTTTATTTTTTAATTGTAAACTCTTTTTGCAATGGCTAAGGAAAAATTATACTTAAGCTGTTATTTTTTTGAAAAATATTTTTTGCACCTAAAACAAGAACTTTTTATTGGTAAAATTTATCAGTTAGGTCATTAAAAATGGGTATTCTCTTCTAGAAAGTAAGTATGTGTAATTAATAATAAAAAAAATAAATTCAAATACCTCAGCTCCACTAAAACCAAAATGAATGACCAATGGTCTAAAATAGGATACCTGAACTAAAATACGAAGAGATGCTTACAGAAACCGGTTAGTCTATATTTCATGATATAAAGGCAAGGAGGTTAAGATGTGCCTGGCATGAACCTTGGAGCAATCCGCCACCTCAATATTAGGCAAAATACCACATGGAAGGCAAAAGAACAGAATGGTTGATCGAATCAAGAAAGATGTAAAGCTACATGCTGATAACTGAAAAGAAATAGCTCAAGATAGGCATAATCGGAGAATGCTGGTTAATACAGGAAAAAAATCTAATAGACCTATAAATAAAAAAAAAAATATATTTGATAATTACTAACAGTTACAATAGACAAAAAAATACTGTTATATTCTAGCCCTACGGGAAAATTTAAATAAATAAAAAAATCAGTAAAACCATGGTCCACCTCAAACCATCCTATTCGTAGAGAGGAGGTTGCCTTGGTGAGACTAAGGATAGGACAAACGAACCTGACACATTCTTACCTGATAAGTAAGCAGCCAACACTGCTAAAGTATTCTCACAGTCAGTCACATTTTTCATGAGTGTCCAATACTTATCAATCAATATCGTAGCGAAATTAGGATTCATACCGAAACTATCAAATATTTTAAATAATGATGAAGTTAAAGTAAGGTTGGTGATAAATTTTCTCAAAGTCAATGAGGCATTTTGTTAAACAAATTCTAATTTATTGATTTATTTTATTTTTTAATTATTTTTTTAAAAATAATTTAGGATTTAGGTAATAGTAACAAAGAATATATAGGCGTTGATGACCCCAGGGTTTTATGCCCCTAAGCCCTAAACAACAACAACTGTTATATTCTTTTTTATTTCTTATTTATCATAATTTTTTACTCGATATTTCTTCGTTAACACTTCAAACAACTAAGTGAAGTTTTAAAACCCATCCTTCTTCAGGTAAAATATTTGATTGATAAAACTACTCCTTGTTCAATTTTTAAAATCCGTCCCAACTCCTCCACTCTTCTATATTCGTATTCTCACGATATTATACGTTAGTATCTTCATCACTAAATTTTTATACCACTTGTTTAAAATGTACTCAATTTCACTCTAAGACCGACGATATAGATAGATAGTTTATTTTATTTGTCTAAGGAAATTCCTGTACAAATAAACATAATGGTATAATTAACAATGTTAGATCTTGAGTCTAGTACTGCATTCAAACATAACATTAACAATGTCCACAGCATTAAGTATGACTAATATAATAACAGATTAGTAAACGATATATATATATATATATATATATATATATATATATATATATATATATATATATATATATATATATATATATATATATATATATACATTTTGTTTTTTTTAAATATTCGATAGGTATAAGACAAATGACAATATAAATAAGAATTAATACATGTTATATGATTAACTTTACCACTTAACAGTTCAATGAACAGCCCTGTATGAAATAATACAGTTGGTTTATTTTTTTCGTAGTGTCTATTTTCAGTATCTCCTCCACACTAGCATCTTCTCTGGATTCAGTGATAAATGCCTTCAAGTACTTATTTCTTGGCTCGTTGAACTTGATACATTGGATCAGAAAATGAGTTACCGGGTCAGCTACAAGGCAGTTGCATACACCACATACCTCACTGGATCTATTAGTCAAAGTAGCATCTTTTAAGTATATTTTCATAAAATCTTTATTTGCTACTCTGAGACGACTAACGGCTCTTAATTTGTTTAAATGCAGAGCCCTGAACTGAAGATAATCCTCTGGTTTGGTAATATTAAAGGAGCAGATTTTTCTATATCTTGGGTTTGATTTAGAGTTTAACACTCTGTCGATGTCCTTGGATGCGTGATGGTTTCTTATTTTTTTCCATGATTTCATCTTTGAACCTCATCAGACCTTGAGAGAAAACACAAGAAAACAGCCCCTGACATCCAAGTTCCGCGACAATCTAGACAGACGATATATTGTTTGCATAAATACAATTCTTTACTTAATAGTAACACGGATCTTAGAAAACCACCAGGCAATGATTACATAACTAATAGGAACTATCGAGGCAGAAAACAGTCCGAAGTTTGAGATCCTATTAATACAGAGTGGACTTTGGCCGAGCCAGAGACAGACTACAAAAAGCAGTCTTTGGTTCCGTCCATTCAATTAATAATTAGCTGAATAATTAACTACCCTCGGACGAGTCCTTGTGTTAATTAATATCGCCGGATCGTTGATTGACCTTTCCGATATTTGTTTTGCCGCAGCGTCACGGAATAAGGTTTTTATTGTTTTGAATTATAAAAAAAATATGAGCAGCATATTGACAAAAGGTAAAATCATCAAAAGCTTTTTCACCGTTTTATTAAAAAAAAAAAAGTTGTATTATTATGAACAGAAAGTGCATTTTTTATCCTAAATCGTACATTTTTTCTTTCCGAAACAAATCCCAATGAACTTTTTTTTTGTTAAAAAACGGGTCTGAAAGTTTTATTCTTTCCAAAAGGAACCCCATTCAAGTTTCAATGTTTTTTAATTACTACTGGAGTAATCAGCGATTTTCAGAAATACGTGATACAAAGGAAGAATTTCTCAGTTTATTTTTTTAAATATATTGGTTTCGATATTATAATTCGAATAGAAAATATATTTTTTTGTGTTTTCTGAAAATTTTTTAATAATGATCGAGGCTTCAAGGAATCAAAGAATAAAAATTTAACCACTGTCAATAAATTTAAATAACATATTTAATAGTTGAAAACTTTCCTCGATATTTTGCTCATAAAAAGATATTTTTCATTCATCTTAGAAATCGATGCGGTTAAGAATTTTAAGTTCTGTCGGATTAAAAAATGAAAAAAAAAATTAGTGATATCTTGAAAGAAAGTAAATATTTTTTTTAAATTCAACTTTTAGAAATAATGTTGTAGGGTCATTGATATCAGCATGTCTAGTGACAAGAGCTTTCAGCGTCTTCTGAATAGATTGTAACTAATATATTACGGTAAGTTTGTATGTCACATGCGTAAATAATGCACAACAAAGATGGAGGAATTGATCCCTGCGGTATTCCAGCCATTTCCGGCCGTATAGAAGAACTTTTTCCGATCCAAAACTAAAAAAAGGAGAGAAGAATAAAACAAAATGTTGAAGGAAGAAATGATATAAATTTGTGGAGCAAATCCATCGTGCCTCCTGAATTTTTTATTTTTTTATTTCAAGATAGGAGTAGGTTTCGATGGGTATCGACCTCCCTCAAGCCTTGTATGTCAATTCTGTCAATAAACATAACATCTGCATATTGATATAGGTTGTGACAGGTGAGGATATAAAAATAAATGTTAAAAAAAGTTATGAAAAAAATGTAGAGCATTATATCTCAAAAATGTAAATTTTCTTCAAGCATATATCAGCGGTTTATTCCAAAAAAATCATTAAGTAACATTTCTTAAAATTAAATTACTGATTATGTTGATGATTTTCTCCTTCTAAAATAAGATCGTTCATTATTAAAACTTGTACCTCTCTTATATATTGGAATGTGTACTGCTGCAATATAAAATCTTGAAACTGAAACTAAAATACTTATATGATTTTGAAAGTAGCAGTATATGATTTTTTTTTTATTTCGTCAGGCGCTCTGAAGAACTGTAGCCAGTTAAAATACGTAGAGTGAAATTAAATTTTTGAAAACTTATTTTTTTTTTTTTTTATAAAGCGGTTTGTTTGATTATTTAGGCTTTAAGGCGTAAAACCCTTAAAGTTCGTCATAATAATCTATAAAGGTCATCAACGCCTGTGAGTCGGTTAAATTTGTAAACTCTTTTGAGGAGAAATAAAAAAAAAAAATTAATAATCAAAAATTAGCAATATTAGCTAGAATATTAAATTAAAAACATATAAAAAATGAAATATATTAAAATAAATATTTAAAAAAAAGCCCAATAAAATAAAAATGATTTTTATTTTTATATTTTATTTAATAGCTTATGGATTTTAAGAAATTGTATCACTGTTTTTATGTTTGATTCGTCGTTGCTTAATACCGCTGATATATCCGGTTTTAGAGATAATCGATTTAGGCTTGAAGTATAATAAGTGCATTCTTGGAAAATAAGATTGATTGTGAGTGGGCTATTGCAGTGTTGACAATTTGGTGGTGGCTGCTTAGTGATGAGATGTGCCTGAGTTAGGTTCGTGTGTCCTATTCTTAACCTGGTTACAGCGACCTTCTCTCTACGTTTATAAGCCTGTATTTTCTTTGCCAAATCAAGAGATACTCAAAGTACAACTTAAATTCTATGGACAAAAGGTTTAAATCAGTTT